GACAGGCGTTCATTAACCTGAAACCAGTGTGGAGATCTTCTGCACTGCACTCAGCATACAGCGTGAACAACATCCGGATTTTCAACACCAATTCAGTCAAGTCAGTGCTCCTATGTGATGGTGGAGAGACTTGGCGCGTCACGAAAGGGATTTCCAATAAACTACACACATTCATCAACAACTGCTTACTCTGGCTCGCTACTGAAGATCAGATGGATTGCCAGAACAATGAGAATAGGCAACAAGGAGCTCTGGCTGCCCTCGAATCAACCAAGAACCATTCACGCAACAAATATGCAGGAGGAAGTGGAGATGGATTGGCCATGCACTGAGAAGGCCGACTGGGGACATCACGCGTCAGGCCAGTTGCTCGAGTGGAATCCCCATGGGAAGCGACGAGTTGGTCGTCCAAGGGTGACATGTAGGAGATGGTGCGAGGAGGAAATGCGAGCTTGTAGGCTGTCGTGGAACCAGGTTCAAAAGATTTCAGAGAACAGAGTTCACTGGAGACGTGCTAGTGAAGCCCTATGTTCCACTAGGAACCCAAGGGAATAATAATAATAATAATAATAATAACCTAGTCTGAACGTCAAATAGTAACTGCTGGGTGAATTAAATCAATAAGAGTAGCCGATCTCAGACAGGTTGTAAGCGTAAAAGAAACTATTTATGACCAGTAGGATGTTGGATCACAAAGCAAGTAGATTGTAGGAGGGAATGAATTTATAATGCTCACTCCAGTGAGCAAAAAGTAAAACACGAAAGACCCAGTAGCCATACAAGATATGCAAGAGGTCAAACTTCCAATGGCTCCAATAAAAAAATAAATTGTCAACATGAAGATCTCCACCAACAATTGAATTATGAATCCCAGTATTCGAAAATGAGCAAAAAGATAAAATTTTGAGGTTTTTTGTATTTATTGATTTGATATAGGTATTCATCATGGACTGACACCAGTAGTAGAAACATTGGGAACTTGAGAGCACTAAACAGCAGCTGTTTCATTCTATTATGAAACTCCTCATAAGTGGACACCCACGACTTCTAAACTGAATTAACCTAGGGCTCATTAGTGAGTGACTAGCTTCGAGAGGTGATTTCTGAAGCTCCAATCAGTTGTCGTAACTGATGAAGCAAACTGGGTGGATTTGGGGCAGAAGTAGGAAATATGGACCATTGAATTCCGAATCAGTGGCTTAATAGCAACATACTGCCTGCGGAACCTGCAGACCTGGGATTCGATCCTTTCTGGGGCGATGGGTGTTGAGGAGTCCCATACTAGAACGAAACACCTGTCCAGTGCTTCTAGGTTTCCACTATTTCTTCAACTGTCGTCAGTGCATGATAAATTCCAACTTGAAAAAATGAGACTCGAAATTCATTCTTTGCGTCATATGTGTTGTGGAGTAGTCGTTTACAGCAGATATTTTCACTCATGTATTAACGAGTGATAACGCCTTCTTGAAGATTCAGCAAGACTTTAAGACAGTTAGAGAGATCAGTGTGAGCTGGCATCGGTGGTATGGGTATGCTGTTCATCTCATTAATCTGTAGGGATTCTAATTATCACGCAGACCATAGTTGATAGAGTATTTCTGGTGTTCGGTGAAGCTGGCCAAATTTATTTTATTCTTTACATGTGTAGCTGTGAACAAAGATATCAACACCGGTAAGTTCCTCAAGACTGTTCTGAACCTATTGTTTGTTTACCTCATCGTCTTATCCGCAATTTTTCATTGAAAGTGAACTTGTGTCCTCATCATCATTCAGTCTAGATATTTAAACATGTTGACGGCTTCAGTTTCCCCGAGGAATCCACCTGATTGTAAAATATGAGGAAGAATTCAACTTGGAACCATGATTATTTCTTTTGTGCTTTACAGAAATTACAACATGTATGTGGTGGTAATATCTGCGTTGATCATGCTCTGTCCTATGCTTTTCTTGCATTCTAATCGAACTTCCCAGTTATTGTTTTCACAGCTATATCCAGATTATTGTCGAATAGCGTCATGAAAGTCTCTGACACCCAGTTGTCAGTGTCAAGTGTAGCAACGGAATTCTTTTTCATCTCTACTTTGTTTAACAGGTATCCATGACCATTCATATGATACTGCTGCAGCACATCAGCTGGATGCACACAGAACAGTGGTCATTTTTCAGAAACTGTCCCCATCTCATGAATCGTATTCACTCTCATAGGCAAGTAGAGAAACATAATGTTCTGTGCATTCGTTGTATATGAGTTCCTCTTCGATGTTCGAATTGGCGCTTATGGTTGAATAATATGAAGCGAACAAATCACTTGAGAATTCGCTAATTATCAACAATCATTTTAGTGTAACATGTGATACCAATTTTGAAATGCCGCTGTCTATGCAGGATAACATCCTGACGTTGTTGAAGTGACAGATGGCGCAGTTTGTATGACTCGGTACGGTGGACATTATTTCACGGTAAGATGGGGATTTTCGAATATATTTCACCTGGTCAATGTTATTACAATGTAAAGCATTGTGCTTCATGAGCTTACAGACACTGTTATTTACTTTCAATGACGGGATTCTGTGTTTCATGTCACTCTTGCACTGTCAACAATCTTTGTGTGAATGACTGTAAGCTATGCGGAAGTTACCATCGAACTGAACAGTAACAGCTATATGACTTTCAAGCACCAGGTAGTCCAGCTGGAGAGAAGAGTTTGTGCCTAGTACCGGAGATATGCAAATCAGGCTGAATTAGATGTTGGCAGATGAGGTCTGCTCACCTCTCAAGTATCTGTCATCTGATCATAGAATTGTTAGTGATGAGAGGAAAGTATTAAATTGACAACAGTGTCACTTCAGTAAGACAGAGGTGTACAGTATGTGTGAAAATAGAACCTGACTAGCAGTTCTCCCCACACGAAGTATGTATCGATGAGGCAGAGCATTCCAAAACACAAGACAGAAGTATATCGTTTTGCTTGTCATTGACTATCTCCTTTTTGTCTTTTCAGAAGTAATATGTATGCACCTTTTTGTTGACGATAAATTCAGTCATTATTATAAATCTTTCACCGACATGAAGTAAGTTGTCCATTAAATTTTGTTAGCAGAATTTCACGAAGATTTTCTCCTCGAGCACACTGGCAGACTGCATGTACATAGGATATTGTATTGTACACACTGGTGCTATTGAAGGCAGATTTCATAATGTCGTGTATATTAGGCATTATATTGGATGTTTGTGGATGAAATTTAAATGTTGTCTGGAAGGGTTATAGTATCATTAAGGTTTTTTTCTTGTGTGGTTTGCATCCTATGGTCTTACTCGGAAAACGGTCTATTTCTATCTTCCCTACCTTCCATCACTTATGGCTCAATGAAATGTAAGTGTTACATGTAAAGGAAATGCATAAATATCGCAATCAAACCTTAACAAAGGATGAATGATAATGAAGCCAATTAGTTCCGAACAGATAAAAATCGCCTATCAGAACAGCATGATACCCATCCAATAAATAGATGATGCCGGACCAACCAAGAACCCATCACCCAACAAATATGTAGAGGAAAGTAGAGATGGATTGGATTGTGCATACACTGAGAAAACCATTTGGAGACATCACGCACATCACGCGCTGTCGAGTGGAATCCAAAAGGGAAACGACGAGTTGGACGTCTGAAGTGGGGGTGACATGAAGGAGATCATATGGGAAGGAAATGAAAGCTTATGGTCAGTTGTGAAGCCAGGTTGAAAAGACTGGAGAGAAGAGAGTGAAATGGAGGCGTGCTACTGAATCTCTATATTCCACTAGGAACCCAAGGGAGAGATAATAATGATGATAATAAAATACATGATGCCATCAACACATCAACAAACTGCTTAGATCACATATTGGATACTGCATATCTTGGTAATATTGTTAAGTGTTACCCTCCAAGTGTAAATATTTCACACTGTGTTTGTTACCTTTGAACTAATTATTACTACAAGGTGGAGGATATATGAATGCGTTATGCATTATCTCGGATGCATCCAGAGTTCTATGCTGTTGTCAGCTTCCCTATCATATGTATGTCTTGTCTTTGTAATTCCCAAAGGTCTCTTACAGCATAATACGAATTATTATCATTGGAAGCCTTTTAAAAGAGTCGTGTTTGAATGGCCTAGATCGAATGTCCCCATAGCTTTGCGTTCATGCCAAAAGGAATCACTTGACTTTTCAGATACGATCTAAGCTGGTAAAACACCATTCTAAGCCATGCACTCAGGTCATTCACGTGGCGTCACCTGACAAATGTGGTATAATTTCAAAGATGGATTTGATTGGTCACTGGAGAGTAACCACTTCAAGTTGTCTAGTCCTAAGTACTGACGGTTTTCTGTCAGTCATTTCGCAATGCGGCCACCACACTAGGCAGCTCAGCATCGCCATCAACTTTGATAGATGTTAGTTGGATGGAGCTGATTGGTGAGAAGCCATAGACCTGGGTTTCGGGCTTGTTCGCAGTCGTATGTGCTACTCTGATGGAACTGATATCCCCGCTGAGATTTGAGTAGCTCAGTGGTAACCTCGCTGACTACAACAGTGAGTGGTGCTGGGCTGAACCTTAAGCCGGGACATCAGTTCCGACACGACAGCAGATACACCTTGATGACGACTGCCGACAAACACGAAACCTAGGTATATGGCTTCCTACTGAGTGACTCCATCCAATAACTATCTATCGAAGTTTGACCAGATTCGCTATTGCAGATTTACAGTTACGTAATGGAGCAGAATGAGCACTTTGAGATTGAGAACTGTTTAAAATATTCTGTGGGCTGTCAGAATAAATGAACTTTTAAGAACTGGGAAGAATCATGATACTTTCTGACAAGAGTTGGTAGTCTCCGTCTATACTCCTCCAGACAGAAGTTTTGATGCTATCGAATATAAGGTCCCTTAAAATATACAGTATAATACAATACAATCAAATCATATGATATATTTCACATCCCATCTATTTCAGCTACCCCTTCAACAAGTACAAGTAAGTTACAATTGTTGTATTCCTTATAAAATACAGATGACTTTAAAGGCTACTCTATCAAATGATGACAGGCAATTACAGTCGTCTATTTTATGAGAAAGTATTTTATTAGGCGAAATGTCGAAGCCTGACTGGTTATTTCTACAGTTGCTAGGGTGGTCTCTAAAGTCACTGTGAAATACGCCAATCTGCCATATAATTTCAAATTTTAAAAATTACATAGACGACACCTGACATATCGACACTGACATTTATATTCTGATAATTAACTGTTCCCAGTCACCAGTAACTCGAAATAAAAAGTGAGACATTCTCTCATTCAGTGTTTGCTGACGTCAAATCAATGGTGAACATACATATATCGTGTGGTTATCAGCCATCTTGAGAGAGGGTCGATGGGAGATTATCATACTCTACGAATCACATACTTGGAGCCTGATTGAGCATTAGTGCAGTACAAGTACGTTTGCACACAAATCAGCATAGGAAATAAACAACATCTATACCTATTTGTGTGTATTGAGGTAGTGGCGAATAGTGAAGCATTATTTTGATTAGGTCAGCAGTTCTCTTCCTCATGAGGCCTTGTGTCTGTGGCAGGAACAGAGTCAAAGACAATTAGCAACCAACATTTCAGCTTTGGGGGAGAATTGTGAGCTTCCACAGCCTCACTTGAACGTGTTGTTTCGTGAAGACGCATTCTGACACACGTTATTCATGGTTAAGAGTGAATTGAAGCTAGATGTAGATTGACTGTGAACAGTGGTGACCGATGAAGGTGAAGTTGACGGTGAATGGAATGAAGAAGACATCAGCATTAACTAATATTTGGCCATTGTTTACCATTACTAGAACGTCGACTGTATCACTGCGATTTACAGTTCAGATGGCACACAACCATATTTCAGTTGGGTTCAAGTAAGCTCGAAAATAGATGGAGAGTGGATTTCTATCTTATATCTTCTATCGTCGTACTTGGAGAAGCTGTTTTAAATATGAAACATTGCAAAGCAATAGGACGTGATGAGTGACTACCACAAGCCATCAAATACTGCAGTGGAAAATTATTGAGTAGGGAGGTGAAGGTACTACCCAGTGTACAGAAATCCCAGTTGTTTACGTCAGACTTTCTATGTCACTGATCATTCCAGTGAAAGAAAGAAAACATGTTTAACTACAGCAAGCACATCACCGGATTCGAAAGGCAACAGCTGCCAAGAAATCCTCTGATGGGAAGAATGCTAAATGGTGTTCAGACTAAGATGTGTTACCAGTCCACAAAGTCCTTGAATGTTGATCTGAGTTGTTTTCATAAGTTCATGGTTGTGTTTCTCATGAATATAGGAATGAATGTTTGAATAATCACAGTGTGACCTGGAGAAATTGTATAAAGTGGAGTGTATGTTTCTACTAACTGTCCTCTTCAAAAATTCGATTCTCTCATTATCCATCATTCATTTATAATCTGTCATGTAATGTACTACAGTCTAACACCTATCATTCACTTACTTTTAAGCTTCGTTTGTTATGCTGTTGTGTGCTGTGGCAACCTGAAACCGAAGCAATCTTCAACAGGTTTCTAGGATGTGTCTCGGCTCGTTGGAGTATATGAGCATAACAGTTATATAAAAAATACTGTACATAATTTATTCGATATGGAGTTTAATTCGATTCGACAGTGAACGTAATCAAAAGTCATACACATTTTATTTCTCATCTCTTTCAGCCACTACATTGACAAGCGAAAGTGAGTTTCATTTGTATTACTCATCAATCGAGTTCCTGACGTCTTACACTAGTGAACAAGGATGAATTTATGACTTCATAAATATGGCTGCATTAAAAATTCTGTAATCACTTTGCACATTGTTCATTGTTCAAGTGACAATATACGGGGATTGATTCACTTGCTGTGCATCGTATCTTCAGAGTACGTGCTCACTAATGTCTATCTCAAGAAAAGTTGCAACACTAAGGGAGTTGCTGATATGACGTCACCTCAGCGCCTATGAGAAGAGTTCCACGTTGAAGATCTTGTACTATAGTATTGTTTTGAATAGATTTTTCATTGTGAGTGAAAAAAGGAATGATAAGAATCAGTTGTGTTGATTTGTGTAGTGAAATAGAGGTAGGATATTAGTCATGGATCAACTGGGAAACTAGACTCGTGTAGGATAACGATTTATCACCATGTATGAATCTGTAGACCTGAATGTCATGCTAAATGCCAACTGGTCACTGGTTAATTGCTGACAGCATGCTGCTCGTTTCATACACAACAGTAATGTACAGGTTATTAATTCACCCGTAGATATTTCAACTTGACGTACTGAAGTACACTGTGATTCTCTCTTTTCATGTGTAAACTGAAATAAATTTTCGAGGAGAAATTTTGGCTGAATTTGGTAACTTTGTATGTTACATCTGGTTACACATATTACTCAATTAACTACTGGCGTTTTGCATCATATCTATAAATATGCGATCATTCAACTTCTAAGCAAGACACGACTGCCTTCCAATAGATATCCAGTCTATAATCCATCCCATCTTAGATTGATAAACACATGTCTGTTATAATGTTTGAGAAATGCAGTTGTGAGACAAGCTAGTTAATAGGTGAGGCATGTCAAATAGACAATCCCATTCAATATTTGTCTTCCACCAATTTTCTCAATAATATTTGGTAGCAAATGGTAAGACAGATAATCCTAATCGATTTTCTGTACTTCATCTCGAAGCAACCAGAAGTGAATTCAAAACATGTATGCTGTTTAGATTCAGAAGAAGAACATCAGCATGTCTTTTTAGTGTTCACAATCAGGTTAAAATTTAGGTGGATATCAGGCCAGCAGATTCACTCGAACAGAAATCTCAGTAACTTCAACATTCTTGTATTCCAATTATACACGTCAAACAAACATAACCAATATTATGCAATCAATGTAGAGTCAAGTACACAAATCAAACCAGCTGACGTAGATAGGCATAAACTGCCACATTCAAACAAAATGAACAGTCAGGATGAGAATCTAACAGTTCCCATGCCTCATTGGTAAGCAGCCGGTTGGCACACTCACGCAGTGATGTTAATCGAAGTACTTTGATGAACGGCACAACAGGTCAGAGAACCTCATCGAACCGAATCAATCTTCTACAAGAACAACACAACGGTGTACAGCTGACTGACAATCACAATCTCTCTACAACCAATTAAGCTGTGCAGCAGAGGGAAGGAGACAGATAATGGAACCAGTGGTTGTCTATATCTACGTGATAGCAGACATTGAATCGACTCAAAAACGATATCGAAGACACATAAACTGCATCATTGTGTGTGTCTAAGGCGAACACAGTACAGTACTATTATGGCATAGCTTTCTACCACGTTGACCAAATTTCATCCTCGATTACTGACCGACAGCCTCTTCTTCAATACTGTGGTAAGAGCTGCCACATAACTTAAGTTGGTATGAGGTGGTGTCGAATGCGTAGGTATACTGTGATGTCCCAGTTTTCTATCTGAACATTTACAACTTGTCATTTTCACACTATTCTTTACTGTATGACTAGTAGTTTATTTTCTGCCCCCCTTGTAATGTAAATCACTACTGATTGGTTAATCTTTACTCCTACCATGCCAATGTCTGAAATTGGGGACAAGGTGATATTTTCCAAGTTTGTGCATATTCACGTATTTTTAGATTGATTGATTGATTATTGTAGTTTCGGAGAAATAGTCTCCCATCATCGGTCTTCTCTGTATTCGTCCTGGGGTTGCAGTCAGTGGCTGTTGCGTAGTAAGTTGGTTGTCAGTTAGGCGTGTGTATTATATTTGTTCGGAATATAACTGTTGGCGTACAAGAATATGGCATATTCCTCAACTCCCTAACCCAGGAAGATGCTAATTATCACCCACATCACAACCAATAGAGTTTTGTTTTGGTGTGTTTTCTAACAGACCAATTTCGTTTTCTTATTTGTATGTGAAGGTGTGAACGAAGATGTGAGTTTTGGTGAGTTGTCCATTACTATTGTGAACCGATTGTTAATTAGTGGGATTACTTTACAAGCACATTTCCATTGAAATCTAACTTTAACTTGCCTTAGAATTCGGTTTGTTTTGAGACGTATTGACGGCAGTAATTCCTTTGAAAGCATCTAACTGAAACTTGCAGAATTTCAAGATCTTATAGTGGGAACCTTCATTAATTCGGCATCTCTTTTAATGCGGAAAATTTCGATATTGGTTGAATTGTTGATGCATAATCAAATGTCCTTCCTGCATTGGAATTAAATGCTTGAAGTCATAGCTTTTAGCAGTTCCATCTACCTCTTCTTTAAGTTGTTTGATGGCCTGATTTATGCTGAATGGGTCTCACACCTTATTATGAGTGTCGATTTCACCTTTGAATTCATTTTCTTTTTTTTTGGGGGGGGGGGTATGGGGAAAGTTACTGAAGACTCTTTGTGCATATAAGCCTTTATATTAAGCTAATGCAAGAGAACGAGTGTTATTCTGCACAAAAAGACCGCCTTGTGTCAAAACGTTTCCTCATCTTAATAATCGTACTGACCCTCGTCCACAAGTAGAGGAACTTTTTGTAGATGTAGAAGAGAGCTAGCAGCGGTGACTACACACAGACTTTTCTTTGAAGCATTCTGAAGCATAAGAACAACGGAAGTTAATTTACGTGCGTCAAACAGAGCCTTTAATATCCTGTCAAAAGAAACAGCCAAGGAGCATCTTTGCGGAAAATTACACTTATTGGTGAACCATCTTCAAACACGTCACTCACTGGTATGCAGAAAAGAGTAAACGAAATATACTGAGTGATATTCATAGATGGTGAAAATAAAATGGTGATGTATCTTACTCAACACACACATTAGCTGCGTAAACCAAACACTGAATACTGAACCGGTTGATAAGATTAAAACGAGTTATCATCATTTTATAAATACCACACTGTGTCGTAGATCTCCATGCACGAAATTTAACTGTTCATCTGATGGAATGTAACTGAAGTAATATTTTTCTCCCATGTGATTACTATTCTACTCTGCTGCTTCCTTCTGTCTTGGAATGAGTTTTTCTAACAAATTGATGATATAAATGCCACATTTTTTCTTGCTCCACAACCCTGCTGTAGTTATAGAATGAATTCTTAGTCCGAATGTCTTAAATGAGCTTTGTATGACCGGCGTTATGCAAACATCCTTTAAGACTTTTTTAGTGCATGCGAAACATGATACTATCAAACAGTATTAGACGAAAAGTTTGTCATATAGTCAGTAATATCCACCAGCCCATTATATTTTCTCACATAAAATTGAGATGGCTAAAACAGTCAAATATTGTGATTTGTCTCATTCTTCATCAAATTTCAGCTTCACCTTCAACAAATACAAATGAACTCCAGCTGTATTCCTTGGTATATTCATAGATCTCTCAAATTGTTTTACATGTCCAACCTTCATGAGCGACAATCGCCATAATATCTTTATAAGATTTCCCTTGAAAAATCCTTCTTTCCGAGCAGCTGTAACTTTAAGCATAAAAGAAGGAAGTCTCTCACTGCATATTCATTAACATCAGACTGACGGTGAATACAGATAGACTTTGTGGTTATAAGCCATTTTTGAAGAGAGTTGATGTAGGATCACAGCTCTTTCTGGAGTACCTGCTTGAACCCCCTTTATTTCCTGATTACCTCTTTCGATAGGCTGCTGAAGGATTGGCTGAGAGACTTTGAAGAAACCTTTAAGTGGTCTACAATCATAATTCAGTCACCCAGCATCTAACCCTGAACCTGAATGAGAAGTCGATATCGATTCTTCAACTTAACGACAGTTTTTCTGTATGAGATGTAAATATAGTCTACAGTAAACATGGTCAACTCAATAATCATTTATTTCTTATCTCTTTCAGTTACTACTTCAACAAGTACAGGTAAGTTCCACCTGTTATATTCCTCCACAAATCCACCAATCTTCAGACCTCCAAAGTCGATATTAGGCATTTTGATGTACATTGATATACTTTCTTACAGTATAAAGGGATTGCATGATTCTTTGGAGCTGCTCAGTGAATGCCAATATTTATTGTTCGTATAATAATAATTATTCTTCCAATGGGCTCCTAGTGGAACATTGGGCTTCACTACCACGTCACCATATCACTCTCTTCACTCCAGTCTTTTCAACCTCGCTCCACAACTAGCCATAAGTTTTTATTTTTTTCTCATATGATCTCCTTCATGTCACGCTCGTCTCGGACACCCAACTCGTTGTTTCCCCTTTAACTCTCACGGCCTAATGGCCTGGCCTGATGCGTGATGTCCCTAAACCACCTCAGTGTATGTCCAATCCAATCCATCTCCACTTTCTTCTGCATATTTTTTGGGTGATAGGTTATTGGTTGGTTCGGTGTCACAGTGAGTTCATTATTGCTCATTCCTATTATTCTGGACATCTGATCTTCAGTAACGAGCGTACGCAGCTATTGATGAAAGTCTGTAAATTTGTAAGAAGTGCTTTTCGCGTCACGAAAACGTGGCAAGTCTCTCCACCTTCACATAGAAGCACTGACTGACTCGACTGAATTAGTGTTGAAAATCAGTATCTTGTTCACGCTCTATCTTGAGTACAGTGCAGTAGATCTCCACACTCATTTCTGATTAATGAAGCAAGGCATGTCTTCTTGTCCTTCTGATCCTGGCTTTGACATTCTCATCTGTGACGCCACTGCCACCTGTGGTTGAAACGATGCTGCCTAGGCAGACAGGTAAATGGAAGAGACTACTACCTTCAGGTCTCTCCACATCATGGTGATTGCTGCTTCTTGTTGTTGTTGTTGCTGTCGGTTGGTTGGTTGGTTGAGTATCTTCATCACATTTACCTCTATCTTCCCTACGTTCACTTGAAGTCCCGTCTTCGCTGCCTCGCCTCACCTCACCTCACCTCACCTCACCTCTTCTGTCAACGTGTTGGCTTTTGCCTGTAGATATCCGAGTTTGTACGACAAGACATTAAACATAAATCAGCATCGTTGGCGAAATCCAAACCTCCTAGTGTATTTTCATCGGTCCAGACAGCGTATGCCCATCTTCTCACAGCTCCTCACGGTTTGCTGCATCATCCAGTCCAGTTGACCACACTCAGGATGATCATCGGTGATAGTAGGCCACAGCATCGTCTTTCCCCTCCCTGTCTTCACTTCAAAGGAATCACTGAGCTGAGCTTTCCATTGTGAATCACATGGCATGTAGCATCATGTTGCATATAGGTGTTCAGTGAGCTTGATGAATGTTTGTGACACTAAAACCTTAGCTCTGGAACAGTTGCCAAATCACTTGTCGGTCGACGCTGTCGAAGACCTTTTCAAAACCGATGAATTTGATGTTCAGTTGAGTTGAGTTGAGATGAGTTGAGTTGACTGGCATTCTACTCTCTGTTCCATGATGATGTGTAGCGTAACGTTGCAATTTAGTCCACACATGATTTGTACTTCCTGAATTCAGCCAGCCAGCCAGTCAGCCTGTTTCGGTCTTTATTTTGAATCCAGAACAATGCGGCATAGTATTTTGGTTGGTGTGGACAGGGACAGGAGGATGACTGCACGCCAGTTCTTGCTTTGCAAAGACTGCGATTGCTCTTCTTTGGAAGTTTGACAATTTAGCTCTTCTTCCGACTTGTCGGCAGGTAATTTTCATTCCTTTCAAACTTTCTGCAGTAGTGGTGTGTGTGTCCGCTGTTGTCCCTGCGTGTGTTTTCAGTGCTTCTTGAGGATTTCCATCTGGTCTTGCTGCTTTCCTTGATTTCAGCCACTTTATGGTGTTCAAGACTTCTGGTTTTGTCTGGGAACGTGTTTTTGCTGGTAATTCTGTGGCTGCCAGTTTTATTTCTCGATAAGTTGCAGATGGTGGTGGTGGTCGATTCAACAATTTTCCGAATTGATCAGCCCATTGTTTCCTTTGTTTATCCTCTTTGCTAACTAGGCTTCCTTCATGATCTTCCATTGGTTTAAACTGCGTAGATTTCTTCACTCTCAGATAGTATTTTGGCTATTTATATGGTGATGTCAAGTTTGTGTCTTTCCCACCAGCACTATGTTCCACTACACTTGCCAGTGAGTCGTGCGCTGCACTACACTGCAATGGCTCATCTTCTGCTTCACCATCCACACCTTCCTCTCCCTCCTCTATCACCTTCCAAGTCTCCATCGACATCCATTCCTTGTCTTGCCGCCTCATCTTCCCTACGAACATGGTCATACAGGTTTACTTCTACATCTTCAAACAGTTCCAGTGTTCTTCCAACCAGGTTTCTACAGGAATCTTGCTCAATCAATATCTCACATTTCGTGCTGATCGCTGATTCACGTGAAGATTTCTTTGTAGTTTCGTCCTTCACTTTCTGTTCTGGGTGTTCAACTTCAACTGTCTTCTGTCATCACCAACTTCTGTGAAGGCTTTCAACTTGATTTTTGAAGTTAGTTTGCTTGCAGTAGACACTGACTGGTGTGAACCTACATTTGCTCCCCTTCTTCATTCCATCTCGTGTCCAGTAGGCTGACTGTGTCTCCGTCCATCTCCACTTCATTCACATTCACATGAAGTCGATATCATCCGATCTGATCTGATCTGATTTGTAGTGTAGTGTAGTGTTGTGTTGTGTAGTGTAGTGTAGTGTAGTGTATCCTGGTGTCTGATGTCTGGTGAAATCAAATCGATGTTGCTGCCTTGTGAATATCCTTGTGCTGCATCATTTGTAGATGCTTAGTATTGACTATGTATGATTGTGACTTTCCTCCATTTTCAGTTGAATCTTGTTGTGATGATGGTGATCCTGGAGGAGGAGATTGGTTCCCACTGGATGAGAATGAGAGGCTTCGATGGTGTTGGGGACATCATGATAGCCACTGGAAAATTCAGTGTGCTGTGTTGGTGGTTGTCGTGTGGTTGACAATATCGGAGTAGATTAATGACTTCTCTTCAGCTGGGCGTCTGGATAGTCCACTTGCATTCCATCTACAGATTCCTCTCAGATTCCAAGCACTTCTGTGCTATACCCTCTCATCTGTTTTGCAATCTGAGCAGCCTTGTCAGTCAGGTTTAAACACGGTGCGGACATTCCATGTTCTCATGTTTACTTTCACTTTCATCGAGAGAATCGAAGATATATCGACCGATTGGCTTGCTGAAGGCTTTCACCAAGTGGTGTCATTTAGTCTCCCTGATTGGAGCAAGGAATAAGTTTGTTTTTATGTTTTATACTTTTTTTGTGCTTTGAAGTTTCTTCAGCAGTTAGAATGATTTCATGGAGTAGATTTGCTAGCCCTATGCCGAACCTTCCCTCTTTATCCTGGCTTAGGACCGGCTAGTAACTGGCGAACTGGTTAACTATGTGAGGTTGTATGCCTTTATTACTGATGCTTACTTGGCTTTGCTTCAGATAACGTTTCTAATGATTGATTGTTCTTTGTGATTCCATCATATTTGGTGTCTCACCTTCTCAGTTATTTCGCTTCTTAATATTTTAGTTTAGTCATTTTGTCTCAGGAGGTTTTACGTTCTTTAACAGCATTAATTTCTTTCTGCCTTTTCTACTGGACACAGTATTCATTCAGTTGCAGTCTTAATAGAAATTCATCCTAACCTTGCCTTCTGATCTGTATTATTTATTGTAAGTTATTTAAAAATAGTTCTTCGCTATGATTCCTCAATGTCCTAAATTTTACAGACTTTATTGTGCTTTGTCGAGTTTTGTTGCTTTTTGTACTCTCGATTTTCACCGCGAGTTTTTGTGCGTGATGTAACCTTCCTCTGAAATAACATAATTTAAAAGATCTACTTTTGAGACAGATCCCATGCTTCAGTTGAGATTACAAGCAGAAATGTTTTTACAAAAATTTTATCATTCCAATGCTTTTACCATTTGTCTCTTTTCTGGCTATTATCATCTTAGTAAATTGATATAACACTACTCTGTAATTGATGATTCATATTTTCAAGCCTTGGATTTGTAACATGAGATCAAAAATATGGCTTTTGAGATCATTATTAAGTTTTTTGAGTGAAACGTAGCGACAAAAGGCAGCCAATAGGTCATGATTTATGTATGCGCTGACATGAGAACCTGATTGGAGAACTTCGACCTCATACAAGAAATCGGATTGGCTCATTTATGGCTTCACTTTCTGAGAGTTTTGTAAATACATATATGTCATGTATTTGCCCAATAAGAGTTGTCGCTGTTCTTGCAGTCACAGACCGTCTTTGTATTTTGATTTCTCCACCGCGCGGTGAAACAGAAGGTACTGAGAGAGGTCAGTCGTAAAAGTATTCGGTTGAGGTGTCTATTGAGTCTCAGTATCATTATGCCCACGCGCTCAACCACCACTCGGTCACAACAGTGAGTATAACGAGTCCATCAATATGTTATGTAAGAATCTACTGCAAACCTATTTGGCTGTTTATTATGTTTTACTGTGGAGCGCGACCAGAGTTTTCTTTTCAAAGGGAAACTTTCAGAACATCTTATTTAAATCCCTCATTAGTTTTTCTTACTTGATCTACTCACCAAGTGTAGGAAATGTTACAGGAATCATGGTGCTTCAAGGATTTTTTGGTAGTGATTTTGTAGGAAAATAACGGGGATTTTATATAATATATGTCGTTTAAACTATTCTTTACGTTTGTTATTTAAACGATCATTTTATAGTCGGTGACTATGTTTTGACACCAGTTATGGTTATTACGTAGCAATAAAACCCAGGACATGCTTTTCATCCTATACGGGACTCGTCAGTTGGATGCACCAACCTCCCAGTTTTTGTCGCCATCTGGATTAGAATTCAGTAACATTCGCTCCAAACAACAGGGTGTTATCTACTAGGCCATGATAGGCGCACTTTAGACGATGGGCATAGTATAGTTTCGATGTTGTAGCTTGTAAATCTGCGTCGTTGATTAGGCCAAATTCATCGCTGACTACAGGAATGTAAGCTCCTGTGTGGATGCTTCGATATTTCCAGTATTTCACTTTTAACATTAATGATGGGTAGTGGCTTGCAGTGAAATCCAAGCCATAGATGTCTACATCAGAATGTTCTCGTGATGGTCATTATCCAATCTGGAACGCTAACAAATCATAGACAGCTTAAAGAGGACGGTAATGGGAATACTTATCAGGAAACTTGATAACATTGACAACTGTGATCGAAATATCAGCCAGATGATACTGTTAACATTCGTTCCCAATTTGAAATTCACCAACAGCAGATCATTAAGAAGTAAATGATTGTGCACTTGGCTTGTCAAAACTACTTTTGACTAAAGTAAATAACCTAATTCTAATATGATAGAAGCTTCGTAACCAAAACTTTGGTATATTGAGGTTACGACAGAGGAAATAAGGATGAAATACTGCAACCTAATAGAATAAAAGACAGATAATCATATCTGTATGTGGGAAGAAAACCATATTTAGCTAGAAAAGAAAGCTCATAATAAAATTAGCGAATAACATTTGTTGAGATGCTTGTAATTCTCCGTTGTTATACTGGATAGAATTGTTCAACTTCTGTTGGCATATGGGCTCCTATGAGGATGCCTAGATATTGCCTAGATATTTATTATGGTAACTTACTTGGTTGTAGCTAGCAGAAGAATCTACGACACACGTTTTTTTTACTTGTGAATAGTTAGTATATCAACAAATAATTATAATTAATACCTGTTATACAAGAGGTGGCTATGGTACCCCAGTGGCTTATTGGATAGCGCTTCGGCGTCTAAAGTGAAGGGTATGAGGTTCGATTCTCAGTGGGAACGATATTGCTCACTAGGGTGCAGGTAGGTCCAGCTGATGAGTCCCAAATAGGACGAAACACACATCCTGGATTCCTCTGCTAGCTATACCCAAGTAAATGAAAAACACTGTTTCAATCCTATCCGGCAGTCAAGAAGGCTGAAATCATGCTCAGGGATACAAGTGTATACCGGTCAGTTTATAAAAACTCAAATCGAAATCACCAGTATCTTCTACAAAGTAATCAAAGCAATGCATATAACAAAACAAAACTAATGACGAGTGAAGAACCAGTGAATCTTCATGACCACACTTATATGATAGATCGAAAGTAAGGAAGCTACATTTACATTTATGACCAGCTATTTCACTGTCAGCTATCTCAGTGTGTTTTCTGTTGAAGGAAGTCTTCATAAAACCAAAACACTCCATTGAAGGATGAGATTTCGCTATCAACTCTTCAGTATAGAGCTTCGACAGGGATAAAATTATTCATATTGGAAAAGATGAACTAGTTGTACCCATCTGTCACATTTGTGTATACATCAAGAGAACTACCGAAGGATACTATAACTTTTATCATCACCAATAATCTCGTCAGCAAGAGATAACTGACAGGATGGTTTTCTCAGGAGAATCTATCATGGATCAAAACAGCTGAGTGGTAACATCAAGAAGTAAAACGATCTATGACATGGAATTAAAGCTATCACAAACACCTATCTATTAAAGACTATAGATACATCTTACATGAAGTCGGTAAACTGTTGTTCTGAACACTGTTGTAAATTCCGTTCACTAAGTAACCATAAGTACATTTTGAAAGATTTTGGTCATCACTTTACATAGAGATAGCTTTAGCATTGCACAGTTGGTGTTTAAAGTTCCAAGATATAGTTTTAAAAAGTAAACGAATCCTTTTAGCAGCTATAACAGAGTAAGAATGATGATGTTCAGCACATTAGTAATAGTACACGACAAAACTGACCAATAAGAGTAGGATTCATGCACAGCATCACAGTGTGTTACAACCATGTCACCTTGTTATGATACTTGTAATTTCCCGTTGCTGTACAAGGTCTAGTTGCTGGACCTGTCACCCACCAGATGGACTCCTATTTAGATGCTTCGATACTGCTGAATATTCATGATGTTATATTGATCTTGGTGACCAGCAGAAGAATCTAGGACTCTCGTTTCATTCCATTTGGGACTCGTCAGCTGGATGTATCTGCATCCCAGTGAATGATATTGTTCTCATTGGGGTTTGAACTCAGTAGCCTTCGCTTCAAACGCCAGAGCGTTATTCATTAAGCCACTGGGGCTCGATAGCCATAGAGGTCGAGCAATTCAGCCCTGTATAGCAATGGGAAATTAAAAGTATCATAACGACAACTTATACCCTTTGCACAAGACGTAGCTATCGTGCCTCAATGGCTTAGTGAGTAGGACTCCGGGACTTGGAGGGATGGGTACTAGGTTTGAGCCTCAGTAGCAACAACATCACTCACTATGATGGAGGTGGATCCGGCTGAAGAGTCCTAAATATGGTGAAACGAGCATCCTGGATTCTTTCGCTAGTCACCAAGACCAATATAACACCATGTCACCCTGTTCATTTGAACGGGAATACTGATATTGTAGTATTTAATTTTTGTTAAATGGCATTACATTATGATATTCTCATTGTGATTGATCATAAATAATTACAACAGTACTGTTTCTGTGACAAATTTCATGTGTCTATTTGAATTTTTAGGTGACCAAATGACAAACACTTTTAGTAAGTTAAAACATTGACTTTTTATTCCAAGTTATCGGTCCATAAATTTCATTTGTACGCATCTATACTAAGAGAATTTGCATGCTTTATAGTAAGCAAACAAAAGCTTACTGTACATTCGTGTTTATTTCCACATATTTCATTGTATGCGCAACATATGAAATAGTTTATTGAGAAAGATTGCTTGAATGCTCTAGGTTGTATTGTGTTCTCTGAGCTGGGTTGTTTAATCGTGAAGGTATCATCTCCTTGCTAGACGACATCATCAGCACTAACTTCAGTATGAAGTGAGCTATCAATATCTCTCCGTTAGTGATTTAGCAGCTTGCTCTGACGATGTGGTCTGTGGTTGGTTGTTTCCTTCCTGTTAATTGCCGTTCGCGTTTCCAATTGGTTATGAAATGGAATTTTTGTGAATAGAAACAACAGGTGACATTTAATGTGAATAGATTTTCGAAATGGATTAAATTGATATTGGAAACTGAAAGCAGAATAATGTTTCGAAGAGATTTGTCAATGTTAGGATGACGTACATGCCCATGAAGAATCATCCATTCCATGATCTCATATATGCCAATAGGAATCGATTTATTCAGTGTAGTAGAACAGACAACTAGAAATTACAATGGATGGGAACTGGTTGTTGTATCGTAATGCAGAGTTAAAGTTCATTTCGATGATATGTGTGTAAGTGATGCGATAGCGAAGATTAATGAAGGGAAATGTAGCAAAATGCTCAACTGTTTAGTGGATTAATTTGATTTGTGCTTAGTTTCCATTACTTTTAAATATGTAATTCATTATTTGTCACTAATTAACCGTAATAAATGGTTTTACGATGCTGATTTAAGAGTCGAGGACGGAGATTTTTCAACGCTGGTGATTACCAGTCTCTTGATTCACTTCGTAACTTCTTGAGACCCGTTTACCATTCCCACGCTTACCTAGTACTGTGGTTCGCTGAAGTCTCTTACGCGAAACGTTACACAACGCTTTATGGTCGGAAGGTACGAGTTAGATGGAAGCAGTAGCTCGATCTGGAAATAGTCGGGAGCTGTTGCAACGCATCCGCGTCATTAGCAGCAGCAAGACGCCAGGTGTCAATGAGATGCTCTGTGAGGTAGATGGTACACTGACAAACAATCTTCAAAGATGCCTAAAACTCTGGGATGTGCACTTCGCAATGCAGTTCAGCTAACCGACTGTTCCATCATCTTCAGTTCAGTGTATCGTTCTCCGTGGTCAATTAATGGTAATAATACAATACACTTAACGAAGTGGAGGTCCACACGGAACTCCATGTTCTGAAACGCCACAAGGCACCTTACCTAGGCAACTAGCCGGCATCTCTTCAGGGATGGAGGGACGACTCTAGTCAGGAAACTGACCGGATCGTTTGAGAAGGTATGGCAGGTTGAGAGTCTTGCATCACTTTGCAGTGAGGCCATCATTTTGCCCACCTTTAAAAAACGTCTGCGTAATGTATGTGACAGTCATCTGGATACTAGTGTTACCAGTCATGTCGAAAGTGTTGGCTGCTATCATACTTCCCAAGAAATGATTTGCGATGAGGGGACGGGGTTTCGTTCAGTTCGTGGATGCATTGATCATGTGTTTACCCTCTGCCAGATGTTTGGACATCGCTACACGTATTGCAGGCCAACAATCGTTGTGTTTCTTGACTTTAGTGCTTCCTCCGATTCGTTAGACAGAGCTGTACTCTGGAATGGTCTGTTGGAGAAAGGCGTGCCTGAGAAATTTCCTAACATCTTGAAATCCCTATGTAAAACAGCACCTCAGGTAGAGCGAGGGCATACAACCATTTGTCTCCATTGTTCCAAACCAGCAGTGTAGTTAGGCAGCGTTGCCCGATTTTCCCATTCCTCTTTAGCTTTGCCATCGACAACATTCTTGAAACAGCTCTGAAGGAGATGCCTGCTGGTGGTGTAGACCAACTACCCTGAGAACGGGTATTTGACTTTGAATATGAGGACAATATCGTCCAACTGAGCGATAACACACTGGCTACCCAAATTGCACTTAATCAGTTGACGATTTATGTTCATAAGTATGGTATAGTCTTTGCATCATCGAAGTGCAAAGTTCTTCTCCAAGATTAGCAGGAGCCTATGCTTGCGCTCACCCTTGGTGGTGAGCCGCTGGTTCGAAGTACACAAACCCAACAGCCCGATACGTCCCATAATGTCCCCAACGCATAAGCTTGCCCAGTGGCTAGTATAATTACTGGATCCCATTAAAAAGCATCTCTGCCACGATCCGATATTTTCATTGTATTGCCATGGGAAGTCCTTTAGGTCCATTCCTAGCTGACATATTTTTGTCACACGTGGAAAACTCAGCCCAGAACTTAAATGACCAAGCCTATCTATATCGAAGATTTGTCGACGATATTCTAATTATCTGTGAAAATTTAAGTCAGTCGGCTTTAATTGTAAACCGATTGAATGAAGTACAGGACAGCATTTCTTTGACTTGAGCAGGAAAGGAAGATTCCTCCTTGCCATTCTTGGACATATTAATTAGTCGGCGACAGGATGGATCCATAAAACGATCTATCTACAGAAAGCCTACATAGACAAGGCATTATTTGAACTATTATAGCTCTTGTCCAGTTTAGTACTAGTGAGCGTTAGTTAGGTGCTTATTCAGTAGAATTTAACAAAGAAGCACAGAGGATACTTTGAAAGACAAAGGAGGAATATTGACTGAGATACTGTTTGAAAATGACTATCTATCAAAATTTATCTGGCAGCACAAAATAATCAGAGCGCGAAAACCAGATCTTCAGTTTATCCTAAAGAAAGGTGTCTTTATTAGTCTTTCTTACAAAGGTGACTCTCATAGTGCAATGGTTAAGCAGAGACTTAGTGCTACTGTTAGAAGGACTTCCTATGCAACCAGGGTTCGAGTAATCGAAACCACTATACCTATATCTTCCTCCAAACCCACAGAGCATCCGAATGACGTCACAACCCATTGCATCTACCAATTCAAATGTACGTGTGGTGACATACGTAGGGAGGACTAATAGGTCCATGCAAGTGAGGGCCTGGGAACATATTCCAAAGTGGCTTCAGAAGCAAATTAAATCACTCGAACCCATTAAGTTTGGTAGCAGATGTCCAGGTTCGTCGATCGCGAAACATATCGTTGAGACAGACCATAGGATGATGTTGTTACCTCCTTTAGACCTATTCACAAAACGTGTTGGAGATGGGTCCTTAAATTTGTTGACACCTTAGCTATCAGGAAGTTCAAACCACCTTTGTGTGTTCATAAACAATTTGCTGCCCACATTAAATCTTACTTGGTAAATTCACCTATGAAAACCAATGTAGTATCATTTTCGCTCTGATGATTCTCATTGTTATTCGGCCCTTAATTTAGCCTTCCTACTTGATCTCTTTTCATTGTCTCACCCCTTATCTTTATGAATTTTCGTATAAATACCTATGACAAGTACGTGTGTGATCAGATAGTTCGAAATGGGTTGCGCAAATACGTTACCTGGTACAGACAATTTATACAGTCTTCTTACTGTGCTTTATCTTTATCTACTTTCCTTCTCTTTATGTCTTCAAAATAATATTAAACTATTATGTGTGGCCCATTTCTTGGTGCTCTTGCTTTACTCGTAAGAGATAAAGCGGAGTATAACGCAGGATGTTGTATTGACAAAGGAGCCGACAAAAATTTGAAAACATGATGATTAAATGTTCAATTATGAAGTGTTATATATATCAACAAATTAATATGAAATAAATGCTACACCCTGTAATACAAATCTTCAATTGTGATCAAATGAAGATGGTTTACTGGTTTCAATCACCAACAAGCATTTATGTGACTTCACACAATTCATTCACCTCTACACGTCTAAAAATCAATTCCACTCATCAAGATGAAGGGACATACATTTATCGTTACAATTCAGATTGTGCAATTATCAAATCATACAATGATTAAGAAAACAACACAAAATTACTTTGTATACAGTCCAGATGTGAATCACAAATCCTCATGCATTGAATTATGATATATTACAACACTGCCACGACTGAAGACGAAGTGTTGAACGCCATAAGGCTACTGAAATGCAGGAAAGCAGCGGGACCAGATGGAATCCCTCCAGAAGCACTGAGAGCAGGTGCAGAAACAACAGCGGATATGCTCACACCACTATTGCAGAAGGTCTCGAAGTAAAGGAAGGTACCTGCAGATTGATTGGAATAAGAGTAACCTTGTCAAACTCCCGAAGAAGGGAGACCTAAGTGTTTGCAAGAACTGACGGGGAATCACGCTGCTGTCCACACCAAGCAAAATATTAAACCTCATCATCCTGGAGTGACTAAAAGATGCCCCGGATTCAAAACTACGACCGGAACAGGCTGGCTGGCTGGCTGGATTCAGGAAGTACAAATCATGTGCTGATCAAATTGCAACTCTTCGCATCATCATTGAACAGAGTATAGAATGGCAGTCAACCCTCTACCTCGATTTCATCGACTTTGAAAACGCCTTCGTTCGATAGCGTCGACTGAGAAGTAATTTGTCAGGCAACTGCTTCAACACTACGGTTTTAGTACCACAGACCCTCATCAATCTCATTCAACAACTATATGAAGACGCCACATGCCAAGTAATTCACAATGGGAAGCTCAGTTCATTGATGCTTTTGAAGTGAAGACAGGAGTGGAACAAGGTTGCCTACTATCCCCCATGATATTCCTGATTGTGGTCTACTGGACTGGGTCATGCAGCAGACAACAGTGAAGTAGCCTCCCTCACCTATCTAGGAAGCACTGTCTCAACTACAGGCGGGTGCACAGACACAGTTGAGGATGTCAAAGCCAGCCAGGATTGGAAAGGCAAAACAAGCCTTCATTAGGCTGAAACCAGTGTGGAGAACATCTGAACTCAGCATGTGGAACAAGATCCAGATTTTCAACACCAATCCAGTCGAGTCAGTGCTTCTATGT